AGAAAGAAAGAAAGAAAGAAAGAAAGAAAGAAAGAAAGAAAGAAAGAAAGAAAGAAAGAAAGAAAGAAAGAAAGAAAGAAAGAAAGAAAGAAAGATCGAAGTTCTAAAAAAGTATCATGAAGCATTTAAAATTACTGTGCTTTCTTTTAAGTCACTTTTGTCTACTAGCTGCAACTAGAACGGCTTTTAATTGAACTTGAGAGAACCGGACTGGTAAAGAAGGCCCGGTCTTTTCTTGTCTCCTCTTTCATTAAAACAAATGAAAAGATGAAAAGTCTCTGAAGTTATCTGAAATCAGGAAAAATTTATTTTCAGTCAACAGATAATTTAAAGGGAGAAAAAAGTTATAATAGAGATTTTGAGTATCAGAGGGGTGAATCATTTGTTTGACCTGATCTATGAACTGGATACAAGAGAGAAAATGCCATTTACCTGTAAACAGTCCCTGAAACAGTACAAAGGAGCTAATTTTCCCAGTCCACACAACATGGTATAATACATTTGGAAACAGTTCATTGGCACTGGCAAACTGAATAAGTCTTTCAAAGATCGCATGTATTAATATTCAAAATTAAGCAAGAATTGTTATTAATGACAAAAATTAGTTAATTTTATTAGAGTGGTTTAAGCTGCCAGTAAAAGTCTTGTGCAGTTTTGTTTGTTTTGTCTGCCTCTAGACTGTCTTCAAAATCTGTTTTCAGGTTCTGGTGTGTGGAATTCTGAGTGACCCAACCTTCCATGGAGTCAGGTTGTTGTTATGATGCCAACAATCCAATGAGGTTCTATGGATGTCTGCTAAAACTAGAAAGTTTATGTCAGGCTCCGAATCTTTACTTGTTGCCGGGAAACTGGAAGAGTTTCTGTTCTCAATGGCCATGTGTAAAACATGAGTGTTGGGGACATCTTCCAGCTGCTTAATCCAGGTATGCAGCTTTGCTGCATCCTAACTTTGTGTTGGGTCAAGACCCAGTGTACGCATCTGAAGTTCCACTCATGCCTTGAGTTCTGTAAGAAGAAAACTTAATTTTGCTAAGGTTATGTTGTGGTCCAGCAAGGTTCCTAGYTTGGACTAGGGAGCACTGCAGCAGATACGGCAGAGCACTTCTGCCTCACAGTTCAAACATAACTCAAGATGACATTATCTCTATGACAGGAGGTCAATTATCCTAGATTTCCAAGAGTTTTTTGCTTATTAAAATATAGCAGCTTTTCCAGTTTTACTGAAAGCAGGCTGTAAAACTGCAAAGGAGAATGTCTTGGGAAGTATGAGGTAAGTTCAAGTGCACAATGTTAGTTCAAGTGCTTGACAGCCAAAATCAAGTATCTAATTTTGTAATCTGTAATTATGGACTATTTGATGATGCACATTTGGTTTTATTSGGTCAGATTCAACAAGAAGGACTTAAGTGAAGTATGGGAGTAGTATTAGAAAAGATCTATTCAGTTTTTTAAGACTATAAGTCTTTTCAGGTAAAGTGAAGTTTCTGTGATGCAGTTTGCTCTAGGTATTCCCTAAATTTTAGTAAGTTATATTTCATCACTTATCCTGCTCAGCTTACATATGATGTCCTGCAGATCTCCCAGTCTGAATCTATGAGAAGCATATTTTTGGTGTTTTTTTGGTTTTTTTTTAATGGAGGTGAATACCCATTCAGCTCTTCAGTAATGTTGTATTTTAAGCGTTAATATAGCATAGGAAAGAGGAACTAGTGGAGAACCTAAAGACTACGCTGCTGAATCTTGATCCTTTTTTTTGCTCATTGATCTGAAGTGTTTCAGATAAAAAGAGAGTTCCAAATAATCAGTGGCTTAAAAGTCAAACACACCCTCCTTGGAGATGTGGAGCTTAATTCCCTCTAGGCACAAGAGAGAATTGAACTTGTGACACATTTCCTGAGCAGTATCCTTAATCACTGTGCATTTTGTAAAAGAGGGAATTATATTTTATCATCATTTCTTTTACCCTTATGACCTGGGCTCAGGTTGTATTGGATCTGCAAGGTGTAAGTTATAGCTTAGTCATACTGACAAGAGTTTGTCTATTTAATAGCTCTGGGTAGCTGCCACATACAATTTTTGGGGGTGATATTGAGTGATGTTGGAGGCAGTGGCTGCTCTTAGCACCCCCTAACTGGTGCCTGCCTAGCAATACCTACTCTGTACTCTATAAGGAATATGAGACCCAGGTCACTTTAGCCCAAGATTCTCTTATGGGGGACAACCACTGAAAAGTTTGTTGCTTTAACACCAAATTTAGATGCTTAAGTGTTTTATTGGCCTTAGGGCATCAGATTAGAATTTTCTGTCTGCATCAATTTATGTTTTTTTAGATAGACACCAATGGCAAATGAAGCCTGAATGYCATGCTTACTTTTTAAATTGAATATGTTATTTGAGGTGCTACGGGAAGGACACTGTTGCTGAAAATATGCATGCTGTTTTCTGTAGCAAAATATAAAATATTCACCATGTTCACAAAAGAAGTAAACTATGTCTTTCAGAAGAGCTTTTAAACTATACTAATGGAAATTCCACAAGTAATTTTCAGATAATCAACAATAACTGCTTCTTAACGATGACGGCAGGAATTAAGGTATAACTTTATCAAATCCACACATTAAAAAGTCCCAGGTTTTGTCTTCCTTTCTATTTTATGTACCCTTGTAGAGACAAGAGCAGTCTTAGATCTTTTGCTAAGGTTTTATAAAAGAGAATATTAAAATTTCAAAGTATCCTCAGTATAAAATGGAAAATAATTCAAATATTCTGAAGTTAGAATTGGACCTTTCTGCTAGGATTCATTCATCAAAAAGGGAACTAATGATAAATATGCTATCCTATATAGTAAATATTCATTTTGGATTATAATCTGTAAATTCTCTTGAAATAAAGGTACAATGTAAATATAACATGCYTATTCACCTTAACAAATTTGGAAACACATATGAGTATGTTTTTATGAAATACTCAAAGGAAATTTTAGCGTCAAAAAAATTCTCTTCCACCTGAGCTGTTCTCTAGCAAAGCCAGCAAACAAGTGATCCAAAACTTCTCTTAAATTCTGTTTCTGGTSTGTGTTGCAATTTTAGTTAGTTCTCTGAGAAAACCCTTTTTTAAGGAGAGTGCTTGCCAGCTGATGTACAGAGTAATTTTTATYCTCAGTTCTGCTGCCCAGATGCTTGTTTAAACATATTTTATCTGTTCATTTTTATATGCATGCATACACACACAGAGATATTTATACAATTTATTTCTTTTACTGATTA